ATGTTGAGCTGCTTCGAGAAACCACCGTGCATTTCATTTTAGATACGTTCACACGCATACCGGTCATGTTGCAATCACTTATGAACCTTTCCAAAGAGCGCATAGATCGGTTCAGACGATGACAACTAAGCAAACATCGTCTGCAAACAGCAATTTTTTTCGCTTCGAAATCTCCCACATGATACACTCATGGTCCAGGTTGCATCCGAATATTTTATCGATTTACGACTCAAACAGGAGAGGAGACGGAACGCAACCTTGGTGCAGTCCAGTGCCAATCCTGAGACGTCTCGAAGTAGAGACATTTGCTCTTGTACAGCATCTCCTCTCGGCACAACACTTCTGTTGTTCCATTTTGGAGTCAGTCATTCCGGGGCACTTCTTTTCAAGCACCTTTGCGTATGCCATATCTGGGTGGATCAGTGAAGTTATGTTCCTATAACTGAAGCATACCCGATGGTCTCCCTTCTTAAAAAGAAAACCTATAAACTCCATTCTCTATTCCGATGGTGCCTTCGCCGTAGCCATTGCAGTTTGAGAGACACGTGCAAGCCGGCATATGTCTAGTTCGCTTTCTGATTTGAGCATTTCAGGTTCCAGTCCATTTTTCGAGTTTTATACAAGTTGTGTGATTTCATCTGCAGAAATTCCAATATTATCTACCTGCTGCTCTACAGGAGAGTCTGCCCGTAGTTGTCCAGGGTTAAGGAGTTCTTCAGAGTGCCCACTTTTATCGCCGTAGAATAAAACGATGCTTGATAAAAGGGCTTAGAGACATAGCCTTCAAAACTCTTGGACTTACCTTCTTTTGATCTCCAGGCAGGCAAACGCTGTGCCAGAATACCTTGTTTGACGTCTAAAAATTTGACTCCAACATCTCACTGAACTTTTCCCAGAAATCTGCTTTGGTTTTCACCATTGCCTTCACTGTCATCTTGTGCTCCACAACAGAACGTATGGGATTTTTGGGTTCGTTGCTTCGAAGCCATTTCTTGAATGCAGTGGTTTTCCCTTTAACTACCAGCTGTATTTTTCGTGTCCACCAGAAAGTTCTTTTCTGACTTTCAGGCAGCACGCCAATCCATTTGAATCTGCAGTATTCAACGGTAGCCGCGAGTATGCTGTTCTTAAAGAGTTTTCACACAGTTTCATTATCAGCGATCATCAGGGAAACTGTACAAACAGTCGTGCGATGGTGTTCGCAAGTTTCGCACATGTGTCTGTCGAAATATCGCTCTGACGTCTCCCGCTTATATCCGTTTTTCACTTGTGTCCGCAAGTCTCATGATACTCCATTCTCACAGCGTGGCGTACCAACAAGTTGGTGATCACTTAGCAGCTCTATCCTTCTCATAACGTTAACATCCATTACATATGATCATCATATCGATTATCGACTTTTGCTCAAAAGTTTCCCTGTGTTGATGCACGCGTCGATGTTAAAGTGTCCATAATAGGCAGTACGTTATTTGCACCAAGCCGGAATAATTTAATGCTGTTATTGTTGAGGTCTCCAGGACCATTCTTCCCAACCACCCCTTTCCACTTTTCACTATCTGCTTTGATGTGAGCATTAAAATCGCCCATTAGAATAATAGACTCCGTAGTCGGCATTTTGCACAGAGCACGCTCCAGTTCGTCAGTGAATGACTCATATTCTCCCTCAAAATTGTGCGCATTAACTTGTAAGAAAGTCAAAGCCCTTAGCCTATTTTGGCTTCAGTCGGAGGATTGCCACAATCGGTTGGCAGGCTTCCATTCAATGATTCTGTCAGCAAGGTTGGGTCCTAGTAAAACATCAGGGTTAGCGTTTGCGCACATCGTGATATCGACACCAGAGTGGAATAGCATCCATCCGCAAATGTTCAGAATTCCAGAGCCTTCGCACTTCGATGACGAGGCTCCAACTGTGCCGAGTTGGTACCTTGCAGTTTCATCAGCCAGGTCCTATTCTTGCCCTCCGATTCATATGTTCTAGTTTGCATCGGTAGGCTCCCACTGGTGGTGTCGTTCCGGTTGAGCCATTTTTGAGTTTCATAATGACATATCGCTCTCTACATTCTCCGGTTAGAATGGGTCACGACTCTGTCGCCGTTTATCATTTTCTAATTCGCTTCGTCGATCTTCTGCTGTTGTTGTCGTGCTGCCTACTCGACTGCCAAGAGACGAATAACAGGCTCTGATCGCCGACTTTTGTCGGCCTGCTTCAGTCCCCTCAGCAGTCAGTGCAGCCCTTCGTAATCGAGACTATGACCATTCTAGTAAAATTCTCGATGAAGAAAATACCATGAGGATCAGGGGGCTAAGTTGTACAATTGCGCGTTAACTTAAAATAAAATTTCATGTTTACAACCTGACGAAACAGCATTCGTCTCTGAATTCAAGCAAGGTGTTTGGTTCCACAAAGATTCTTCATCCATGCGGTTTAGTGATAAACGAAGCTGGTACTTTGCTATAGGAGGTTCAAAAGCATGAGACGCAAAATAATTCTTCATCTTTCTATCGATTGCACAGTTTTTCCAAAATCGTCAATCCGCTCAATTTATTTTAAATGTAAATTGAAGATATACATAAAGCGTATGTAGTTAGATGAATTATTTATGAAATTTTACTTCAAGCTGTACTTCGTTCGGCTCGAAACTTTTTGGAAGACACATCACCTAAAAGTGTTAGCGGAACTTTCAAAAAATGAACCAGTTATCTGATGACAGCACTAGTAGAGATGCATTTCTAGTTAGACGACGATTTGAGACCTCTCAAATCTTACGATTTCAGACTCGCTTTTCTGCTTTATTTTAAAACTGTTCATTTTGTCCTGCCCATGGGCTGACTATCGTGCATTACATAACCTCTCCATTATTCAGACCTTCCCTTCGCACGGATTTTAGAACAAAGACCGCCATTCTTCTTAACCTTTAACCGAACGGCCATTAACCTCGCGGTTACATCAGTCACTGCAACTAAAACGAGTGGCAATAAAGTATGTGCTGTATTACGTCAGGTGCTGACCTGGACAGCAACAAATCCTGCTACTCGGTCACTGAACGTTTTGTTTTTTTAGCACGTAAAAGAAAACGATAGACACAAAGAAACAATCTTGAAAGAATCTCATGAGAATGACAGCATAAGGTTTTGACCCCTTATCTTTATAAATTATCAGACCAAGGAACCCAGTCACTGTAACATGAACAGACACGTATCGCCGTTGCGTTCCAGGTTCTCAGCTATTGACAGTGACCTACTGCCATGGTTCCACTCTTCTATCCTCGGACCCTTCACCAATCTCCTCTGCTTATGAAGGTAACACGTTACTAAATTTTCCTATTGCATGACCTGGAGATGTAACAGTTAGTATCAAAGATAAGTGCATGTAACTTATTTAAAAGGGGACCAATGATCGACGCAGAGGAAAATAATAGAGGGTCTTTCTCTGTAATGCTAAGTATCGGAGCACGTCGCCGCTTCCAGTAGTCCATACTTGTTCTTAACATACAGGTGTTTTTAGCTTCAATTGTTCCTGCATTATCAAGCCTTTAAGCCTCTTTCCGATGACTGGTGTAATGACAGGAGGACATGGCACATTCATGGTGAACTTAGAGCAGATCGTTTTATGAATTAGGCTGGAAACCTTATAACAACTTTCAATCCCACTCCCGGCTCTTGAAATAAACTAATTAGTTTCAACCTATGTTGATGAGACCTTCAAATTATTTATGGGCGAGTGGCTACAGTAGGCCTGTTTTTCTTCGAAATTGAATTTTATTGCGATTGTAGAAGTCCAAAGAAAGAGCTTTGTTGAGATAACATAAGACATTGGTTTAATGGATGATCAACCAACTTAACGACTCAAATCACATGATCTTCTTCACGATGAAAAATGGGCATTCTTTCGCGTTCATTCTCTTATACCAAACGATGCACCATTCTATGCTGCTTTGAGTGTGATGATGAATCTGTCGATAAAATTGGTAATTTTTCCTAAAGATAATTAGTTCCCATAAATCCTTTATTTTCCTATATACAGGTTTTTCAAACTCCGCTGGATAATATTTTTGGCCCACTATTATTATACATAGTTGGCTTAATAATTTATTCAGTCGTCGTCTGCCTATAATATGAATCATCAGCTAATCATGTGGTGTCAGGTTATCTTCTTCTAGTGAATGTTGTTACCTGTCTGCAAACTCTCTGTTTATTATTGTATTGAAAGTTCAAGAATTTATGCTTCAGAGTTAAAATATTTCAATCAGCATAATTCTTGTGAAAAAAGTACCCTGGTTTAATTAAATTGGAGATGGGTAAACCTTTCGATAAAAAATGCATCTTATCTTATCTTGCCACAGTAACAAGAGCAACAAGTTGAATTTCTTTGATTCAGAAATATTATGCAGTCAAACTTGTTACGAATAATTGAAAACGCGGCACAAACGAAAAATTATACCACCCTATGTGTATTAAGAGCATCATAAAGAGTTCATTCGAGTATTTTAAATAACGCATGACTCCTCCAAGACCAATCTTCTCAGTGTATTACAGCGCCACCTTGCCAACGGTTAAGTAGTGGGACAATTTCGCAAGGCCACAGCTTCATCTTATTGGAGCATCTGCAGTGCAAGTTGCATCTTGCATAATTTTGGTTGCTAGAGCCACTTTGCGCTCATGACCAAACAACGAATCCGAAGGTCCTATCAGGAGCTGGTATTTTTTATATGGTACCATGTAAGATGTTCGTATACCAGAATTTGTTAACTAATGAGCAATTCTTCAATGATCAGATTTCTTTAATGTTTACCTCATCTTTTAATAATAAGTGTATTATTCCATAATTATTATCAAGTTGTGAATCAATACTTACACATTGCAGATTTTCATGCACACTGCATGGAAACGCTTATTGCGCCTTCGTATCACTGTAACCTTGCACACGTAGTTGTGAAGTGGCAGAAAATGGTAAGGTAGTTAAGAATGAATTTGAAAATTCTTTTCTCGTATTACTAGGGATTTGTGAAAGTTGTGAAGAATCGTGCTTACTTTCAACGGTTTCAAGTAAAATTCAAAAGACGAAGACGTAAAACGATTATTCGAATGTATCACCTTGTGTCATATTCAAAGTTTAGAGGGAAAGACAGACTATTATGCTCGGCGATATTTGGTCGTTCAGTCTAAAAACAAATATAATACTCCAAAGTATCGGATGATTGTCAGGATCAGCAAGCAGGATATCGTCTGTCAGGTACTTATCTCTTATTAAGTGGTACCTCATTTGGATATACTTTCAGTAATTGTGCAGAGTTCATGGTTGGTCGGTTTTGCTTGAAATTTCGAAATGATTATTTGTTTTTCTGTTAGCATCTTAATTTCCGGGAATGAATTAATATTTACTACAGAATTAGATTTTAATGTCTTTTGTGAGAACGGTCGTAAAAAGAAACATTATTTTTCCTCGTTCGTACTCATTGGAGTTTTAACACGATATTGATTTAGATGTAGTGCTGCAGTACATGCGTTTCCAGTTGGCAGTAATCCAAGATTTTTCTTTCGAATGCATATACGAATATATGAAGTTGTCCTGGTTCTTATTTCTTGTGTACTTAAACGCGCCTTTCGTCGCGACTGTGAAAACACTCACATAGGAAAAGGATAGTTATTAACTGCTCGATTCAAAGCGAATGGGCTCCAAACAAGGCTGGAGTTGCATTTTTCCGCAAACTACGATCACAACGAAAAGATTTTGCACTATCTTTCCTATAGCGAAAACATGTGCTCTTTCCAGCAAATGGACTAGATACAGTTTGAAAGGTTTTTATTGCTGAGTCAACCCGTAGATTGTACGACAAAGTCTGAATTTTGATTGAAACCATCGAAAACTTCGGTAAGTCATTGCATGGTGTAATGAAATAGGCACATTTTCACCGGAGTGAAAAGAAAAGCTGCATTCTTTATGGTTGCTTCAGTTCTGTGTTACCGTTTGAAAATGTGCATTTACCAGAACTTTAGTCGAGCAACAAACGTCTGACCCTCGCTGACTTACTTTAATCTAAGCATTTATGTTGATTTGTCGCATTTTGGAGTTCAGTATTTAGAGCCTACAAGATGGGCGAAAGACGGGAGCCACTGGAAAAGCCTTATGAAGCTGATACCTCAGCAAATAATTGCTAGATATAAAAATGTATTTTGATCCTATAAATAAGCGCGTGAAAATATTTTATCGGACATGAAAAGAACCACGGTGTTGCGATTAATAAAGAAATTTTAGAAATCATGCATCATATCTATACGGTCCATGCTTAAATAGATCACTATATGTTCCGTGCGGACGGGTATATTTTTTAAGGCGAGTGCTCGAGAGTTCACAGGTCACTCGGTCCAATTTTTACCCGTTTCTTATTTTTACTTTTCTTTTGCTAAAGTTGAAACCTCAAGTTTTCAACGAAAGAAATAGTCCACGCTTCCAGTTGTTAATAGTATATTTTCAATCTCCATTTCATTTGCCCACTTGGGCGCTACAGCTGTAAAG